CCATCTTTTAACTTTTTTAAGGCTTTTAGCACAATTTCAGATGATGGTTGATATCTATCATCATAGTTTATAAATCGCGTATAGAGCCTGACAACACTTTTCAGATAATAGTTAATATCAATCTTTTTATCAAGACGTCTTGCCACTTCTGGGTATTCCATTTTGTCTCCCACTCTTTCCGATGAATTATTCTCAACCATAACATATTCAAAGCGCTCATCTGGTTCTGAAATTTGATAAAGATAAGGCTCAGGTGTTAGGCCCTTTTTTATGAGCCGTTTGGCATCTGTCTCTTCACGGATATGTCTATCTCGCATTTGTGAAATGAAGCACTGTACACTCTTGTTATCTTTATCGGGCTTCTACACAGCAGTTTTAATTATTTCATTAAGATCTGTCCGAGAAATATCCTTTACAGTTTCCTTAAGAACGTCTTCTATGATTTGATGTAAAGTACACAAATTATCCACCTTCATAGATTCATCCATAATATGCCTTCCTACTTTACGGAAAAAACTTGACTTCCCTCGTTTTACAATCTCAACTTCCTGAATAAAAAGCTTATTATTAAAGTTGGACTCATACGTCATTTTGAGATAAGATGATCCATTATCGTTTTTGAGAAAGTCATTAATTTCGTCGCGGAGTCTTTCTATTACTCCCATAGATATATTTACTATCTGAGACTAATATTCTTCTTTCGAGAACCCATTGCCATTATCATAAGCTGTATCACATTCCTGGAAGAATTCTTCTGGACAGACAAGATATAAGAAATCCATATCCCTGTATTTTATCTGAAAACCCTTACTTTTAACGAAATCTGTGACAAGTTTGATATTTCTCTGTCCAGCTGATGTGACACCCCCAGCAAGTTCACATAAGAAGAAAGGGGATTTACTATCTCTAGCAGTGCCATAAAATGTATTCATATATACTTTTAAAGCATATTGTTCCACATCTAAGCAAGAGCAGTTAAAACATAAGGAATTATATTCTGCTATGAATTCATGCTTTTCTTTATGAATAAAATGATATAAATTATTAGCAAGACTGCTATGCTTTTCTTTTTTTGCATTCACTAAGACCTGCTCAATGGCTTCTAATAATGTCAAACCTTTGCCTATTGAACTTATTACTAGATCCATATCTTCCTTTTTTGCTTTCAAAGGGGTGAGACGTCTTTTCAACTCATTTCGTTTAGCAGATAAATATTCTAATACAATAATATAGAGACCTTTTCTTTAGGAATATTATTATGCCGAACAGACCAGGCACGTTGAAGGTTGTTATTAAATAGAAACTCTATCTTATGAAGCTTTTTGTCGCTTTGTTCTATAGATTCGACATGCTCTTGAGATAAAATGATTTTATCGGGCGAGAGGTTGTAAGTCATAATAA